GAAACATGCCGTCTGGAAAAGGCGCCCTTCAAACCGGAAACAACTGGAGCAGTTTGCTCACGAAGAGTGGGCCAGAATACCTGCTGAGGTGCAGAAGTCTCATTGACAGCTACAGGATGCCTAATCAGAATAACAAAAGCACAAAGAAACACAAAACACTGAGTCGACAGACTCAGGACAGTGTGTACTTCTGTGCTGCTGTTGTTTGTGTTAACTGAGAACGTAACAATGACACAACACATCTCGTCTGAGGTGGACAAGCTTTCAGTGTGTGGTCAGAATGATTAAGCAAACATTTAGGGAATGTCTGATTTAATATAAGGAAGTATATAGAGTATATTGTGTTTGAACCACAGACCCATGAAGAGAACAAGTATTCCTATGTAACTGAGTTAAAACTATTGGAATCATGATGTTCATATGGGATTGTGTTAAAAGGAAGTATTGAGAGATCATATAATCATAAAGAGAAACAGTATATATTCATGTCAAGTATATAAATATATGATTACGCTGAAAAAAATCATTTGAATCTGTATGTGATTGAGCTAACGAGAGCTGTTTGTTTGAGGCCTTTCTGTCTGTTCATTGGGTTAAGATCAGGCGAGTGGCTTGACCCTTCAAGAATATTCCACTGCTTTGATAAACTGCTGCTTACCACTCGTAACATTGTAGCAAATTCTTAGATGTTTTTTCTGTTTTCACAGCTCAAGCATGGCTTGTTTTACCTGCATGGGGAGCTCCTTTCACTGCATGTTGTTAGTTTACAGCAACGTTTTACAAATGCAAGCACCACACCTCAAATCAACTCCAGGACTTTTATCTGCTTAAGTGACAACGACATAACAAAGCAGCTGCCCACACCTGCCCATAAAAAGGCCTTTGAGTCAACTGTCCAGTTAATTTTCATCCCTTTAAAAAGAGGCCCAAACCGCTGATCCAATTCAAATGTGGATGAATGCTGAGAGTCTGCACATTATGTCCATGAGAAATGTAACCAGAGTAATAAGATGATTTAAATGAAGTAATCTCTGACCTGGTAGGTGAAAAATCAGAGAGAAAGAGGGTAATAGGGTGTGGCTGGACATCAGGTGACTGGATGTCAATGAAGTTGATGTTAGATGTCATCTCGGCACATGTGACCTCTAGAAAGGACATCTAAGAGTGACTTGAAGGCATATTTTACAGTCAGAGCTGTTCTCCTTGTCTTGCACTGACTGCTATGTTTTGCCCTTTAGATGGCAGAGTGACCACACAACAAATGGCTTCCACAGGAAATGGCCTCCGTAAGTCAGCTCGTCTTGTTTATGCCTGCTGTGGTCGGGTAACTTTAATTAATAAGTATATGTTCCTTTCCCCCTTGACCTTTTTCCTGTGTGTACACTGGAACATCTGATTCATTTTAAACAGTTCATTATAGCATCATTCTCGTCACTCTAATTTTAGAAACATAATCAAAGAACACAAATGATACAAAGGTGAGCAGAATATCTGCTTAATATTTGATTCACAGATGAAACAAACAAAATCTTGTTTTGTTAAACCTGACTTAAATGAAATGTTCTTTTTTTAAATTCACATTTAAGATGCATATTAATCTTTTTGTTTAGCATATCTACTCAGCAGTAGATGTCTAGACAGTGTCATGTGTGATGGAACTTCACATTAGCCTGTCAGAAACTTGAAATTAAAATTAAATGTTTGCATTTACATTTCTTCGAACCATGCTTTATTTTTTTATTTGTGATGACTGTCTCTTTTACACAGGTAGTCAGGGGGATGATAACCTCCAGGCCATGCTGGTGGGGGCGATGATGAGGAAAATTAAGTCTCGTAACTGGAAGAAGCAGCGATATTTCAAGCTGGAGGATGACTTCATGACCATCTGGTACCAGTCTAAGAAGACTGGCAATATCCGCTCCACATGTAAGAGAACAGCTATAATTAAAGAACCAAAATGACCTAACAGACCCTTTCCAACAGTGGGCGTTTTACTATATGTGTGTGTGCGGGTCACAAGTTCTTGGCATTAAGCATGCTGACAATCTGGCACAATCTGGGTAATAAACAGGCTTGAAACCATTTTCTCACTGCTTTCCTGTCTGTTGTGTACAGAGATGGGCAGTAACGCGTTACTGTAATCCGATTACTTTTTTCAAGTAAGGAGTAAAGTAAGGGATTACTATTGCAAAAACGGTAATTAGATTACCGTTACTTT